GCCTTTAACTTTAGAACTATACAAGAAGAGGTTAAGAGGATCGAGCTACTAAGTAACTTAATTGCCAACAGAAAAAAAAGCCCAACACACTTTAAACAAGAAAATCCACATTCAACAGAATTCATATCCCAAATGTTCACAATGTTCAGCATCTAATCAAATTACTAAACAGCAAAGTAGCAGTGAAACGTGATCAACCATCATGAAAATATAACCCAACAGAAACAGACCCAGAAATGACAGAAGTGCTAAAATTTGCAAAAGGTATTATAAAAATCATTAACAACACACCCAACATGTCCAAGGATTTAAAAGAAAACCACGAGTATTATGAGACAGAGAAGGTTAAAAAAAAAAAAAAAACTGAGTGCAAGTTCAAGATATGAAAATACAATTTTTGGAATAAAAAGTTACCCAAGGCCGGCGCCGTGGCTCACTAGGCTAATCCTCCGCCTTGTGGCGCCAGAACAACGGGTTCTAGTCCCGGTCGGGGTGCCAGATTCTGTCCCGGTTGCCCCTCTTCCAGGCCAGCTCTCTGCTGTGGCCAGGGAGTACAGTGGAGGATGGCCCAAGTGCTTGGGCCCTGCACCCCATGGGAGACCAGGAGAAGCACCTGGCTCCTGCCATTGGATCAGTGCAATGCGCTGGCCGCGGCGGCCATTGGAGGGTGAACCAATGGCAAAAGGAAGACCTTTCTCTCTGTCTCTCTCACTGTCCACTCTGCCTGTCCGAAAAAAAAAAAAAAAAAAAAAAAAAAAAGGTTACCCAAATGTGGTTTTTTAAAAAAGATTGATTTATTGATTTAGTTATTTGAAAGGCAGAGTTACACAGAGGCAGAGGCAGAGGCAGAGGCAGAGGCAGAGGGAGAGGTCTTCTATCAGCTGGTTCACTCCCCAAATGACTGCAACAGCCGGAGCTGCGTCAATCTGAAGCCAGGAGCCAGAAGCTTCCTCCAGGTCTCCCACTTGGGTACAGGGACAGCACTTGGGCCGTCTTCCACTGCTTTCCCAGGCCATCGGCAGGGAGCTGGATCAGAAGTGGAACAGCTGGGACTTGAACCATGGTATGCTGGCATCACAGGCAGCTTCTTTACATGCTATGCCTCAACACCAGCCCCCAGATAAATAAATTAAAAAAAAAAAAAAAGCCTCAATGGGCAACTTACCTGTGAAAACCATCTTTCAAAACTTCTTGCTTCAAAATAATTTCGGGACATGTGTCCCTTATACCCACAGAACCAAAAGATTCTATTAAATAAACACAGAATGAAATAATACTTAAATAATTACAGAATTACTTCAATAGGCTTTACTTGCCTATAAAATCTAACAAATCTAAAGCCAGAAGCTTTTCAATCTTAAGCAATTAGAGTTACACATAAGTCTATTTCCAGTATAACATAGTAGCTAACACTGACTTTGGAATTAGATTTTCTGTTTTCGAATCCCAGTCTGCCATTACTTTGGAAAGACCACTTCTCTTGGGGCCAGTGCTGTGGCTGAGTACACTATGCTTCTGCCTGCAGCGCCGGCATCCCTTATGAGCACCAGTTCGTGTCCTGGCTGCTCCTCTTCCGATCCAGCTCTCTGCTTATGGCCTGGGAAAGCAGTGGAACATGGCCAAAGTGCCTAGGCCCCTGAACCCACGTGGGAGACCCCAAAGAAGCTCCTGGCTTCTGATCAGCCCATTCTGGCCATTGTGGCCACTTGGGAGGTGAATCAGTGGACAGAACACCTTTGTCTCTGTCTCTCCCTCTCTCTGTAAGTCTGCGTCAAAAATAATAAAATAAAAATATTAAAAAAAAAATAGGTAGGCCGGCGCCGTGGCTCAATAGGCTAATCCTCCGCCTTGCTGCGCCGGCACACGGGGTTCTAGTCCCGGTTGGGGCGCCGGATTCTGTCCCAGTTGCCCCTCTTCCAGGCCAGCTCTCTGCTGTGGCCTGGGAGTGCAGTGGAGGATGGCCTAAGTGCTTGGGCCCTGCACCCCATGGGAGACCAGGAGAAGCACCTGGCTCCTGCCTTCGAATCAACACGGTGTGCCGGCCGCAGTACGCCGGCCGCGGCAGCCATTGGAGGGTGAACCAACGGCAAAGGAAGACCTTTCTCTCTGTCTCTCTCTCTCACTGTCCACTCTGCCTGTCAAAAAATAAATAAATAAAATAAATAAATAAATTTTAAAAAAAAGGTAGCTTCTCTTTCTGCTAGCTGTCATAAGGACTTACTATGTATAAAGGCATATGTTTTACCTCCACAGGAATAATCAATTTACTCTAAGAACCACATGATGGGATAGTGCATATACGAAAAGGGAACTCCTCACCACGAGGTGCTGCCAGCCGCCACCCAGCATGGCAGGCAACACAGGAGGCGCTGGCTATCTGGCCATGTCTCAGCAGGGAGCCTGTCCTCTCTAGAGTGGCCCAGAGCACACAGTGCTTGGAAGACACCAGGTCCTGAAGGCAGTGTCCAGGCGGTCACTCATCCTCACGGCGGGCGCAGCGAGGACACAGCGCAGGAGCTCCCGGAGATGGCAGGGGATGCCAGCTGCCCTCCCTGTGGTGTGCCCCTCGCGCCCCAACACTGTGAGAGAGCTGTATGCAAGCAGGGTTTCCTGGGCCCCCCACATTCCCAGCATACACAGGGCACCTCAACAAGGCCCTGAGCTCACCCCATGCTGTTAAGCACACACGGAGCCTGGAGGCCTTGGGGAGTTTCTGACTCCTGGAGCAAGTCCTGTGGAGAATGATCTCTGAGAAGACAGCTAACTGCCCCTATACGGTCAGCTCCCAGCTCCTCATCCAGGACTGTGCACTGGGGTAACTGTGTGGCAGGTTCCCAAGGGAAGACAGAGTCTACCATACACTAAGTATACTATATGCTTGTTGTTAATATTACTTTATTCATGCATCATAGTTTTTTATAAGACACATATTTTATGAACTTTTTGAAGATCATTTGTATGCATGAATTTCAGTCTTTTTGCACCAAAATGAACTTTTCTTTTAATTCCTTTTTATTAAGTCTATGTTTTTAAGATTTATTTATTTATTTGAAAGGCAGAGTTACACAGAGAGAGAAGGAGAGGCAGAGAGGGAAAGAGAGGTCACCCATTTACTGGTTCACTCCCCAATTGGCTGCAACAGCAGGAGCTGCGCCAATCTGAAGCCAGGAACTTTTTCCAGGTTTCCCACCCGGGGCAGGGGTCCAAGCACTTGGGCCATCTTCTGCTCTCCCAGGCCATAGCAGAGAGCTGGACTGGAAGTGGAACAGCCAGGACTAAAACTGGCACCCATATGGGATGCTGGCACTGCAGGTGGTGGCTTTACCTGGTACGCCACAATGCAAGTCCCTTGATTCCCTTTTTTTTGAAGTATACACATCATTAGTAACTGATTCTCAGTCACTGAACCAAGTAAATGATCAGAAGTTAGTTTGCCCAACCCTTACAGTCTGAAATACTTCCACTCTCCTAGCTAAAGAAATCTTACCTGCTTTGCAGCAGCATACAATCTTTCTCCAAATAAACACTGCATGTATCTCTTGTTCAAATCCAGATTTTTCCTCCTGTGTTTAATTTTAATGGGCATAGGGAGTAAGGCCTAACCATTTTTTTTTTCTTTACAGTCTATCATCTAACTACATATTAAATTAGGAGAAATCGAATCCCAGCTGCTCTGTTTCCAATCTGGCTCCCATCTAAGGCCACTGGGAAAGCAGTGGAAGAAGGCTCAAGTACCTGCAACCCACATGGAGTTCTAAGCTCCTGGCATCTGCTGGGTTGCAGGCATTTGGAGAGTGAAATCAGCGGACGGAAGATCTCTCTCCCTCGCCTTTTCTCACTCTGTAAATTTCAATAAATAATAAAACAAATCTTTAAGACAACTTTTTCCTCTTAAGTATTACTTCAATTTGGTGTGCTGGTCTGAACTAGCTGTGGAAATGGACCCCTTTTTAATGATTAAGTGCCATGCTGGAAAACTCTTTAAAGATATCAAGTCCAGTTATTGAACAGTTATTTTTCATTTCATAATTCTTCAAACAAGTTTGGAAATCTACTAAGTAAACCCACAGAAGCAGCACAGCGCGGGTAACTAGGCTACAATCATCCTCCAGCTGGAGAAACTCACCCGGAAGTGTTATCACCTTAATCACCCCGGCAGGTGTCTGTCTCCCTCAACCTCGACGGCTCCGGGTGTGTTTAGCTCAGGACCACGAACTTGGGCCCTACGATAGAATCAACTCCCCCGCCCAGCCTGGAGTCACAAAGAACCCCCAAGCCAACCTGGTTATCAGTCTCCCTATTCCGTTTTGGAATTCTTCGCGAGCCCCTGACCGCAGAGGAGCGTCACGCTGCCCACGCGCTTCCCAAGACGCGTCACCACCGTACTCCTCGGTACTCGAGTCAGAGTGCAGCCGGTTCCTCCCCGCAATGACAACGCGGGGCCCTGCAGAAACGCAGGTGCTGCCACGGAGCAGAGCGCGCGGGAAGGCGCGTGGCCCTGGCTCGCTTCTAATCCGCCCCAACTCACCCCACCGTTGCAGGTCCAGCGCTCGGCTCCAGAAGCACCAGCACAAACCCGGGCCCTGCCCTTACCTGCACCGACAGCGGCGTCGCTGGAGGTAGGGGCTCCTGTGCGGACGAGCCCGGCCGCCGCACAGAGGAGCAGCCAAGCGGCCGCCCGCACAGCCCGGACCAGAGCCGCCAGAACGCCGAGGGGCGGACGCCCGAGAAGGGGCGCGCAGGACGAGGTGCGGCGGGGGAAGGAGTCCGCTAGTGTCTGCGCCTGAGGGCTAGGTACGCGTATGCGGGCCGTCCCGCGTCTTCAAAGCCGGCCGCGGCTCTGGCCCCCTACCCGAAAAGTTCAGGCCTCGAGTGAGGCAGCGGGACTCGGCCCCTTTCGTTCACGCCCCCCGCCAGCCCGGGGGCGGGGCGAGGAGCGACGCAAGCGCGGTGACGTGTGCCCGGGCTGTTGCTATGGGAACGTCTCGGCGGGCGCAGGCTGGACCCAGAAGCCCTCAAGCCTTGGCGGGAGCTGGCTGTCTGCGCTGCCCACCGGCCTCCGCCTAGGCTTCCTGGTGTTTGCGGGCCTAGACCTCCCGTCAGGAGGATTCACCCCTGTGGTGTCGTCCGTGAGGCTGTGGTTGCGGCCTCTTCCTGCGGCGCTAGGCCCCACTCGGCCTCACAGAAGACTCTGGCGTGCCTGTGTGCACTGCGGTCGGGTGGAGGCGGCCGCTCCTCACGGTGTAGACGTGCGGGAGACGGTGCACTTTCCGATCTTCTCTGAGGTAAGGACGCCAGCCTTGCCCTGGCGATGTGAGAAGCTAGAGATGCGTCTGCTCCTTGGGGAAATCCGTGCCCACCGGGGTTCCCTGGCAAGATTCTGGCAGTCCCTGACCGCTGGGGAGAAAAACATGCAAGTCCAGAAAGGGTAATCAGGTAAAGGTGTCCTCACCCTTCCCTGAACCGCACGGAATCTGTTAGCAGGCCTGGAGAGCCTGGTGTCTGAGGGCAGATCCCAAGCGGAAACCAGCGCTATGCGCCTGGTGAAAGTACACGGAGATCCGCTTCGGATGGAGCTGCTCCTGCAGAGAGGGCCAGAGGACTGTGTGTGTGTGTGTGTGTGTGTGTGCGCGATCGGCCTCAGGAATTGTTTTACATTCCCAACAGAGCACAGCATTGGTAAAAAAACAAAAGATACATTGTAATAAGGAAAAGAGTCTGCAGTGGGAAACTGCGCGGTTGAGTATGAACTGCTTGCATCCTGATACCGCGGGTCTCTAGAGTGTGTGTTTCTACGGTGCTCAGCACGCTTTCCTAGAAAGTTTACTAACATGGTATAGTGAGAAGGGATTTTTAGAGTAGTGTTTAAGAGAGGGGAGGGGAGGAGTCAATTGCATCAGATAAGAGACCAAACACTCATTTGAGATAGCAGTTCTTTTTAAATTGTTTTTAAAGTTTTGTTTTATTTATTTGAAAGGTAGAGTTAAAGGGAGAGGTGGAGACAGACTTCTGGTTCACTCTCCAGATGTCTGCAACAGCCGGGGCTGGGCCAGGCTGAAGCCAGGAGCCAGGAGCTTCTTCTGGGTCTCCCATGTGGGTGCACTCTGGCCATCCTCCGCTGCTTTCCCAGCAGAGAGCTGGGTTGGAAGTGGAGCAGCCAGGACTCTAACTGGTGACCCTACGGGATGCCAGCTGCAGGCGGTGGCTTTAATCCACTGCACCACAGCATCGGCCCCAGCAGTTCTTTATATGTGATTAATTTCCCGAGTAAAAATTCTATGTTCAACAATAAGGGGTGAATAATGTAGATTATGGTATATCATATATCGACAAGATCCTTGGGAATCATGTAAGAATTATATCTTAGTAAAATATTTAATGAGAAAATGAGTTGTTAAACTTCAGGAGATAGTATGTATGATATAAAAGACATAGGTTTTTTTTGTTTCTTTTTTTGTTTTTGACAGGCAGAGTTAGAGAGTGAGAGATAGAGACAGAGAGAAAGGTCTTCCTTCCATTGGTTCACACCCCAAATGACCACTATGGCCGGCGCGCTGCGCCAATCTGAAGCCAGGAGCCAGGTGCTTCTCCTGGTCTCCCATGGGGTGCAGGGACCAAGCACCTGGACCATCCTCCACTGCACACCTGGGCCACAGCAGGGAGCTGGACTGGAAGAGGAGCAACCAGGACAGAATCCGGCGCCCCAACCGGGACTAGAACCCGGTGTGCCAGTGCCACAGGTGGAGGATTAGCCTATTGAGCCTCGGCGCAGGCCTAGACATAGTTTTAAAGACTAACCTGTATCTCTGGAAAAATCCTGTTAGTAATAAAGATGATTATTTTATTTCCTCCCATTCTCGCTCTCCCCCAGTTTTCTACAGTAAATATTTTATTACTGTTAAGTATTTTTAAAAATTATATTCCTAGGGCAGGCATTTAGAGCAGTTAAGACTGTTCAGATCTGAAGCCAGGAGCCAGGTGCTTCCCCCTGGTCTCCCGTGCAGGTGCAGGGCCCAAGGACCTGTGGAATGCCTGCATCCTGTGGGAGCACCTGGGTTCAAGTCCTGGCTCCAACTCTTGCTTCCTGCTAATGCATCCCCTGGGGGCAGTGGTGATGGCTCTGGTGGTTGGGTCCCTGCCATCCAGTGGAAGACCTGGCTTGAGTTACTGCCTCCTGGCTTTGTCCTGATGCAGGCCCAGCCCCAGCCTTTGCCAACATTTGGGGAGTGAACCAGCAGATGGAAGATCTCTCCTTGTCCCTGCCTGCCTTTCAAATAAATTTTTAAAACAAGGATTTAAAGAAAATTATATTCCTGTAGCGCTTCTCCAGCAGAACCAGGTTTGTGAAGATATTACCACCCCATGCCACTTTACCTCGAGTTTTTTGATACTTAAGAATTTCCCTAAAATGTTAGATACATCTGAAGCTGTACCTGTAATTAAGTATATTTTGGCACTGAAGATGCCGAAATAATGAGAGAATAAAAAGTGTCAATCTGTAAATAGATGTGTTTCTTGTAACTAAGAAAAAATAATATAGTGAGATAGAAGCCATGTAAACTACTGCCTTGCTCCAGAGCAGGCTGTTTCTCCTTCAGGTCTGCCTTTTTTGGTCAGGTAGATCAGGATGTACCAGAGCTTAGATTAATACATAGCATTAAACAAGAATGGGGCTGGCATTCGGCATCCCATATGGTCACTGGTTTATGTCCCAGCTGCTCCACTTTTGAACCAGTGCCTTGCTCTAATGGCCTGGGAAAAGCAACAGAAGATGGCTCAAGTGTTTGGGCCTCTACCACCAATGTGGGAGACCTGGATGAAGTTCCTGGCTCTTGGCTTCAACCTGGCCCAGCCTGGCTATTTTGGCCATCTAAGGAGTGAACCAGTGGATAGAAGGTGCAGTGCACTAAGACATCCAAATGGAATTGTATTCTCCAGCTCACATGTGAACAAACTTACATCCTTCAATGACCCAAAGAATCGTAGGGATCCAACAGAGGCTAACCCAAGGGCAAACAGAACTTTCAGGGTAGCACTTGAAGTGTTGGGCTTCATGGGCAGAGTATGTGTCTTTAGATTGGGCTAGACCGGAAGGCGGTGGAGGATGCCCAAGTGCTTGGGCCCTGCACCCGCATGGGAGACCAGGAAGAAGCACTTGGCTCCTGGCTTCGGATCGGCGCAGCGTGCCGGCCATAGCGGCCATTTGGGGGGTGAACCAACGGAAGGAAGAGCTTTCTCTCTGTCTCTCTCTCTCTCACTGTCTAACTCTGCCTATCAAAAATAAAAATAAATTAAAAAAATAGTTTGGGCTCGAGCCAGGTTTGCTGGAGAGGAAGTAAAGGGGAGGGAGGTACATCTGACACCTCTGACACCTGTTGTGGTCTTTTTCCCTTTAGCTGGAAGTAACTGTGCAATGAGTACATTTTTGTCGGGTTTTCTCTGATTTACGCTGAATTATATGTGTGGATGATGTGTACTGCCAAGAAATGTGGAATTCGATTCCAGCCTCCAGCTATCATCTTAATCTATGAGCATGAAATTAAGGGGAAAAGTCGACAGCGCATCATGCCAGTCCGAAACTTTTCCAAGTTTTCAGGTATCTCATCTTTTGTCTTGCCTCCTGTCTGAACTATTCACTAAATCATTTCATGAGAACAATTTGAGCCTCATGCCATGGAGTGGCATGCCCTTCAGAGTATACACACCTACGTTCAAATCACTATTCTATCAGGGATTTGATGTACAATCTTGGTTAAGTTACTTATTGTCATGGGCTTCAGCTTCCTAATATGTCAAAGGGAATTGATAATTTTTTCCCAGTTTGATAATTGATAATTGAGTTAAATTAAATAGCACTATTCAGTAATATTAATTCCCTCCTAATATTTTTTGTTTGTAACCTTGGTATTTTATTAGTACCACTACTGCTATCTAAAGGCTATAATACAACTTTTTCCTCCCAGACACTTCCTCTAGTTGAAAGTGTTCAGCATCTCCACAAAGTGATTTTTAAATTAAGCAAGTAAGGCCAGCACTGCAGCTCAATCGGCTAATCCTCCGCCTGCGGCGCCGGCACCCCGGGTTCTAGTCCTGGTTGCTCCTCTTCCAGTCCAGCTCTCTGCTGTGGCCCAGGAAGGCAGTGGAGGATGGCCCAAATCTTGGGCCCTGCACCCACATGGGAGACCAGGAGGAAGCACCTGGCTCCTGGCTTCGGATTGGCCGTAGCGGCCATTTGGAGGGTGAACCAATGGAAGGAAGACCTTTCTCTCTGTCTCTCTCTCTCTCTCTCTCACTAACTCTGCCTGTCAAAAAAAAAATTTAAAAAAAAAAGCTAAATTAAGCAAGTAAAAAATTATTCTGGGGCATTGTGGCACAGCCAGCTAAGCTACCACTTGCACCTTCTACAGCCCATCCTAAAGTGCCAGTTTGAGTCCCAGCTATTCCACTTCCAGTTCAGCTCCCTGTAATCTGCCTTGGAAGCAGTAGATGATGGCTTGAGTACCTGCTTGAGTCCCTGCTGCCACATGTGAGACCCAGATGGAGTTCCTGGCTCCTGGCTTCGGCCTAGCCCAGCCCCAGCAGTTATAGCTAATTTAGGTAGCGAACCAGTGGGTTGAAGATCTTTCTTCCCCCTCTCTCTTTCCCTCCCTCCCTCCCTTCCTCCTTCCCTTCTTCTCTTCCTCTTTGTCACCTAGCTTTGAAAATATTAATTTTTTTAAAAAAGGATAAATAATTGTTTTTTTAAAAAATATTACTCCCTCCTCCTGCCACCACATTCAAAGCTCAGTGAAAAGAAATAGTTCTACAAAAGAATTCATCCAAGAGGCCGGCATTATGGTGCAATGGGTTGAGCTACCACTTGGGACACCTGCATCCCATGTTGCAGTGCTGTTTCCAGGCCTGGCTACTCCACTTCCAATCAGGCTTCCTGGCTGTGTGCTGCTTGGGAGGGGACCAAATGATGGCCCAAGTATTTGAGTCCCTGCTACCACCTGAGAAATCAGGATGAGGACATTTGAGGAGTGAACCACTAGATGGAAGGTCTCTCTCTCTCTCCCTCCCCCCCCCCCCCGTCACTCTACCTTTCAAACGAAAAGAGGATAAAAAGCACTCCAATAAATCCATTTAGTCACTTGGTGATTAGGGAGATAATGCTTTCAAGATTCAGTGTTTTTATTTATTTTTGACCCTTGCATTAACTTATGGTACGTTTATTATTTGTGATATAGATGATGTATGTCATATACAGCTTTCTGTCTTCCTTCTAGATTGCACCAGAGCTGCTGAACAACTAAAGAATAATCCCCGACACAAGTCTTACCTGGAACAGGTGTCCCTGCGGCAGCTAGAGAAGTTGTTCAGTGTTTTACGAGGTAACTTGCGGGGACAGAGTTTGGCAGAAACAATGGAACAAATTCAGCGGGAAACAACCATTGATCCTGAGGAAGACCTGAACAAACTAGACGACAGGGAGCTTGCCAAGAGGAAGCGCATCATGGATGAACTTTTTGAGAAAAATCGGAAGAAGAAGGATGATCCAAATTTTGTCTATGACATCGAGGTTGAGTTTCCACAGGATGAGCAAGTACTGTCCTGTGGCTGGGACACAGAGTCAGCTGATGAGTTCTGATACAGAGCACTCGGGAAAGTCAGGGGCTAGCAGAATACCATGTTTATACAAAGAACATACAGTGATTCTAGAAAAATCTGCCAAGAACACTAAAATGTATGTGTTGGGTCATAATTGGATTGATCGTATTACTTTTCCAAAGCAGTATATTTACATCTACCAGGTAGGTGCAAGCAGGATATAGGAAAAACATTATAGGAGCCTGCCTTTAAGGAGCTCATAAACTAATTGAAAGATAAGTCAGAAACTTGTGAAAAGATATAATAATATAGGCATTAGAAAAATTAGAGCCAGGTGCTGGTAGAGGATAAAGGTCAGAGCCTGGATTCCTGTAGGGTGGAATGGCTAGGGGGAGACAGGACATTGCCTGACCCTGGAAATCATAGTATGTTCACAGATGCCTGTGTAGGGGTCCAGACTAGAGTGCATGCAGCAAAGGGGAAGAGGAGTGGCAAAGAGACAACAAGTGGACATTTGTATTTTAGCAAATCACTGTTTGACAAGACTGGAGGGCACTACAGTTACCAGGAAATGACCCTGGGCGCATCATGTTTGTGTGCCTCTGGAGTAGAAGAGGGCCCCTGCAGGATGCCTGCAGCTGCGAGTGTGTTCCCCAGCCGGGGAATTCTGCCCCTCTTGGATCAGGAAACATGGACAACAGACATTTCTGAAACCCGGAACCTCTTCCTGTAAATAAGAGATTGTTTGTAAAATGGGAAATCCACCCACAATAAATGAACAATAGATACTGCCAGTGTGGACCTACTTAACGAGTCTGTACCTCAAAGAGAGGATCTTTGTTTAACAAGGTTATCTGTGTGCAGATACATTCATTCTTACTAGAGTATTATTTAATTGGCAGAAATCCTGTGTTTTCTACAAGGCAATTAATGTCCATTAAATAAAACTGTAAAAATAACTATTCACTATTTTTAACCTGTTCGTCCCTACTCTGTTAGCATTAAATGCCCCCATTGAAAGGGGTCATTTGGAGCAGGTGGTTAACCTAGCAGTTAAAATGTTGGATAAGACTTCTTACCACCCACACTGGAGTACTTGCGTTTGATGTCCAGTTTCGGCTCCTGATTCCCAATTCTGGCTCACATGGACCCAGGGAGGCAGCAGTCATGGCCCAAGTAATGTGGGAGACCTGGATTGAGTTTCTGTTTCTTGGCTTGAGGCTGGGGGCTTGGTTCTGGCCCTTGTATTTGGTGAATGAAACAGCAGGTGGGAATGCACTTTTCTCTCCTCTCTCCTGACTCAACCCCCACCTCCCTATCAAATTTTTTTTTTTTTTTTAAAAGAGAGAGAGGTCACGTATATAGGGACATTACCAGGGTCTTAGCTCCCATATGTATATTTGCCAAAAATAACAAAAAGAGTTCTCAGAATTATAGATCATCCCATATCTACATAGTATTTCATTTATTCCACTGTGTAAATATGGGTAATTTATTTTAAAAGATTATCTTAGGTGGTTTTCTCATTCACTATTGCAAACAATACAACAACAAATAACCTTGTACATTGTGTTCTGCACACGTGCAAGGGCATCTATAGGATAAAAGCCTAAAGGGGAATCCCTGCTTATGTGCATTGTAAATTTTAGTAGATACTGTTAAGTCTTCCTTCACAGAGATTCATGCATTCATTCGGCTATATGCCCAGTGAGTACCGACTGCATTCAGAGCTTGTGCTGCTGGAGGGGTTTCGAGATGCAGCAGTATTCACGGCAGTCCCTGCCTTCCCTTCTTTGCAGGATTTACAGTCGGGTTGGGCTGTCACATAGATCCACAGAACAATGGCAGGTGGCAGGTGCTGCACAGAAAGAACAGCCTGAGGAAAGTGAGGGAAGGCAGGAGCTGCAGCTGTAGATAGGACACTCGGAGACCTCACCGAAGAGGCGGTGTCTGGGCAAGGGGCTCAAGGAGGGAAGCAAACACGGATGTGTATTTCAGCATTGGGGGAGTGGTAAATGCACAGACCCCGTCAAGTGTACGTGGCATACTTGAGAAGAACAGGAGGCCAGTGTGGCTAATGCAGATTGAGCATAAGGAAAAGGGTAGGAGATGAGGCTGGACTGTCTTAACAATGCTGTTCTCACTGTGCAGGTTGTGCGAACTGAAACTATGAGCAGTACATTTTCCCCAGATACTCATTGCAAGGTGTTGCCAGACTTGCTGCAATTGTTCGTTCTATCACTTAAAAGTGTTGTAGTTGTGATTAGTATTTTTCTTATTTTGAGCAGGACTGGGTATCTTCATACATTTAAGAGCCATTTTCTGTGAACACCTGTTCACTGCTCATTTTCTGATTGAGTTTTTGATGATTTTCTTACAGATTTATGAAAGTTTTTTTAATTTTAGAGTTTGGGTTTTTTGTTTTGTTTTGTTTTGTTTTTGGTCTTTTGGCTTTTTTTCTGAAATCATAGTTTAGAGAGAGACAAAGAGACAGAAATCTTCCATCCACTAGTTCACGCCCCAGATGGCTACAGTGTTCAGGGCTGGGTTGAGGAAGCCAGGAGCTTCATCCTGCTCTCCCACGTGCAGCACCGGCATCCCATATGGGTACCAGTTCAGCTCCCAGTTGCGACTGTTCCACTTCCCATCCAGCTCCCTGCTAATGCTCCTGGGAAAGCAGTGGAGGACAGCCCAAGTGCTTGGGCTCCTGCACCCACATGAGAGACTCAGAAGAAGCTCCTGGCTTCTGTCTGACCCAGCTCCAGCGATTGTACTGCATCCATTTGGGGAGTGAACCAGCACATGGAAGATCTCTCTCTCAAACTCTGCCTTTCAAATAAAATAAATATTTTTTAAAAAGATAGGAAAAAAAGAAAAGTAGTCCTTAATTCTTTATGACAAAAGTTAAAAATATTACCTAGCATGTCATTTTTTTTTTTTTTTTACTTTGTTTATGTGGCAAGTACCAACTGCTTGCTGCCTCCCAGGGTACAAAGTAGCAGGGAGATGGGTCAGAGATGCAGAGGACTCAAGCCCGGCCATTCCAGTCTGGGATGTGGAAGTCCCAATTACAGAATAACCCACTGCTCCAAAGGGCCTGCCCAGGGGGATATTTTTAAGTGTGTTTAATCAGTATTTTCTCTGTACTTCATTTTTTGTCATGTAAAAAGGTGTTCCTCAAACTAAGTTTTTTTTTTTTTTTTAATTTATTTTTTTATTTGAAAGAGTTACACAGAGAAAGGAGCTGCGCTGATCTGAAGCCAGGAACCAGGAGTTTCTTCTGGGTCTCCCACAAAAGCGCAGGGTCCCAGGGACTTGGGCTGTCTTTGACCACTTTCCCAAGCCATAGCAGAGAGCTGGATAGGAAGTGGAACAGCTGGGACTTGAACCAGCACCCACATGGGATGCCAGCACTGCAGGCAGCGGCTTTACCCACTATGCCACCGCACTGGCCCCTCCATGAACTCTTTTTTTTTAAAGATTTGATTTATTTATTTGAGAGGTAGAGTTACAGACACTGAGAGGAAGAGATAGAGAGAAAAGTCTTCCCTCTGTTGATTCACTCCCCAAATGACCGCAACGACCGGAGCTACGTCGATCCGAAGCCAGGAGCCAAGTACTTCTCCTGGTCTCCCATGAGGGTGCAGGGCCCAAGCACTTGGGACATCCTCCACTGCCTTCCCGGGCCACAGCAGAGAGCTGGACTGGAAGAGGGGCAACTGGGACTAGAACCGGCGCCCACATAGGATGCTGGTGCCACAGGTGGAGGATTAACCTACTGCACCACCATGCTGGCCCCTCCATGAGCTTTTAAAAAAGATTTATTTATTTCAGAGGCAGAGTTAACTGACTGATAGGTTCTTTTCTGTTTATCAATTAAGAAAAAGTATTCATCTTTTTTTTTTAAAAAAAAAGTATATGTCAAGCACCGTCTATATCAGGTACTGAGTTTTGTTGTTTTTAGATTTTATTTATCTGAGAGGTAGAGTTACAGAGAGAGAAAAAGACAAAGAGAAAGCTCTTCATCCACTGGTTCACTCCCCATATGGCTGCAACAGCTGAGGCTGAGCTGATCTGAACCAGGAGTCAGGAGCTTCTTCCGGGTCTCCCACATGGGTGCAGGGGCCCAAGGACTTGGGCCATCTTCTACTGCTTTCCCAGGCCATAGCAGAGAGCTGGACTGGAAGTGGAGCAGCCAGGACACAAACCGGCGCCCATATAGGATGCCAGCTCTGCTGGTACGCCATAGCACCAGCCCCCTATGAGGTTTTTATATATATATTATATATATATATATTATTTATTTGAAAGAGTTAGAGAAAGGGGTCTTCCATCCTCTGGTTCACTCCCCAAATGGCTGCAATGACTGCAGCTGAGCAGATCCAAAGCCAGGAGCCAGGAGCTTCTTCCTGGTTTCCCATGCAGGTGCAGGGGCCCAAGCACTTGGGCCATCCTCCATTGCACTCCTGGGCCACAGCAGAGAGCTGGACTGGAAGAGGAGCAGCTGGGACTAGAACCTGGCACCCATATGGGATACCGGCGCTGCAGGCGGAGGATTGTTCAAGTGAACCACGGCGCTGGCCCTTATACTTTCTTTTCTTTTCTTTTTTTTTTTTTTGGAAAGTAAAATAGCAAGGTTTATTAGGGAAGGGACACCCGTAAGAATGTATGGGCACCTTCCAGACAGAACCTGAGAGAGTGCCCAGTCGCTCAGACGGGGAGAGTGAGGTTACATGATTGAGAGGCCCTTATACTTTCATAATATTAAATCAGAGATTACGCAGTTAAATCCAAGATAGTTACACGTTACCCAGAGATACTTATGAATTAAGCTCATTTGTCTTGGGTGGTAAAAACATTTAGTTCTGTGATCAAGAGCATTTAGCCTGGTGGCTAAGACACCCACATCTCACTTCGGAGCGCTTGGGTTCAGTTCCTGGGTCTGGTCCCTGACTTCAGCCTCCTGCCAATGCAGACCCTGGGCCGCAGCGGCCATGGTCAAGCAGCTGGGTTCCTGCCACCTGAGAGAGAGACCTGGTTCGCGTTCCTGGCTCCAGTCCTGCCCAGCCCTGGCTATTGTGGGTATTCAGGAAGTGAGACGATACATGGGCTCTCTTGTCTCTCTCTGCCACAATAAATAAATAATTTAGTCCTTGTTCAAGAAATATTACCCAGCAGTTTGGGGGAAGGGAGGGAAGGGAGGTTTTTCCCATGTCATGAAGTCACCATTTTTCAACCTGAATTACTGCACCTGGACTGGACTTTAAAAGAAGTCTTTGGGGAACCGGCGCTGTGGCATAGTGGGTAAAGCTGCTGCCTACAGGGCCGGCATCCCATATGAGTGCTGGTTTGAGTCCTGACTGCTCCACTTCTGATCAAGCTCCGTGCTAATGGCCTGAGAAAGTAACAGAGGATGGCCCAAGTGCTCGGACCCCTGTCATAAGTTTTAAAATAAATAAAAATAAAAAATCTGCTTAAGCCCCCGACTTCCCACTTCAGCCTCACCCCCATTTCCATGGGCCACTGTGAAGTGCTGCCTTGTGATCATCCCATGAGTTTTTACTGCTGTATTTTGTAAATCATACGACTGGAGTGTACTCCATGTGGGCAGCTGCTGTTCTCTGGTCACTGTGGGACAAGGAGTTATTTCCAGGTGGGAGGGGCAGTTTCTCCTCTGGGCCTCACAGCCCCCGGAACACACCCTGTACACTGGATTTAACCAGCGTCCTACTGAAGGGCGTTTGGGTGGCCTCTAATTTCCCACTCTGGTGCAGGCTCGCTGTTGGCATGTTTTCTTTCCAGAATTCAGAGCCATCGAGCTGAAGCCCCAAGGGACTTCCTCATCGCAGCCCCGTAGCTCATTTCCTATTGAGCAAAACTTCCTCGGGTCAGCTCTTGCCACACCCCGCAGCGATGGGGGCTTTTTCCGCAGAAAGAAGAAGTGGAATTGTGTGTCCTG